ATCTTAATTTCAAATTTTTCTCCTTTCTCTGGAGTTCCCATAAAGATAAGGTTGCATCATGTTCATTCACCTTTTTTGTGATTGGTGCAAGCTCCTTTTTTGTCTCATCTGCAATGTCTTTTGCACTTTGAGCAATCTTTCTTGTTTCAGAATTTTCTTGGATCAATTTATTTATAGATTCTGTATTAGAAGCTACACTTGCTGTGTTCAAGTCCAGTCTTGTTGTCAAATCATTCAATTTTTTTGAGTTCTCCGCTGACTGCTTTGTCAATGCTTCCAGAGACTGATTTATTTTAAGCAATGCATGTGTCATTGACTCCATAGATGCGGTTGCCACTTTTTCCTGTCCAGCTGGTATTATGCCTTGCATCGAGCCCCTTTTCTTCTGAGCTTGCTGGGTTTGTTTTGCTTTTGATCTAGTTGTTATCTCTTCTGGTTGGCCACTCATATCCTCAAGGTCAGTTCTCACAGGAAAGACTTGCAAGTGGAGAATTCCACTCTTTTCCTTTCACTGTAGCAAATTCTTTTTAAAACCTCTAGAGGGAGCATTAATTGTATCCAATTGGTAAAAATCAGAAAAGCATGAGGCAGAGAACAAAGAGATCAGAAACAAAGAGTCCAAAAGTCCACAGTTAAAGTTCTTGTTACACTTTCAGTATACTCAAACGTTCAACAAAATAACTCCATTAAAGTCTTATAACTTTGTTTCAGTCAAAACCCCAACTTTGTATCCAATTTAAATTGACAGTTCGCTTTCCCGGTGCCTTACTTCGGCAGCCCGTCCCAGGGTTTTGACAGTGAAAGATCTTTTTCTTCACTTTACTTCAAGCAGGTTTACAATGTCCAATTTTCCTTCCCCCTTCTCCTGCTTACTGGGGGGAAGTTTAAGTCAGATGTCAGGTTTTGACAGCCTAAAAGTTAACCTTCATTTAAATGCAGCTTTGCTCTCTCGTTGCTTTGATTGCCATGCAGTCCGGGGAGGCAGACTTCCTTGCTTTATGCCTTTCCCGTTTTCAGCCAAATTTTCAAAATTTAATTTAAATGTCCCGTTTTATCCGTCAGTCTTACTCACGGGTTTTGAGGTCAAATTCCAGTTTCAGGAAGGAATCGGCGCTCTCCGTTCAATGGCGACGCGGCTTCACTCTGCGAGCTGGGTTGCGACTCTCAGCACCGCGCTCACACCCGATGCCGCTCCGGAGCCTTTAAAAAGGCTCTTTCGCAGTACCGGGGGGCGCAAAAGGTGCCCGCCGAGTCTCCTTGTTCACAGGCTTCAGCGCCTGTGATTTTAGGGGTCCCCCGCTCGCCGTAGCGGGTCAGACCCGAACTCGCGGAGCAGTCCTGCCTCGGAGCTCGAGGCAAGGACCGCCATTAAACGCTGGCGCCGACCGGAAGTCCGATAGCAAATACAGTGGTGCCCCGCAAGACGAATGCCTCGCAAGATGTAAAACCCGCTAGATGAAAGGGTTTTCCGTTTTGGACGTGCTTCGCAAAACGAATTTCCTGTGCTTGCTTCGCAAGACAAAAATGTCTTGCGAGTTCCTGCAGGGTTTTTTTCCTCCCCCCCTTTTTCCCAAGCCGCTAAGCCACTTATCAGCTGATCCGCTAAGCCGCTAAGCCGCTTAACAGCTGATCGCTAAGCCGCTAAACAGCTGATCACTAAGCCGCTTAACAGCTGATCGCTAAGCCGCTTATCAGCTGATCCGCTAAGCCCGCTAAGCCGCTAATAGCGCTAAGCCGCTAATGGGCTTGCTTCGCAAGACGAAAAAACCGCAAGACGAAGAGACTCGCGGAACGGATTCTTTTCCTCTTGCGAGGCACCACTGTATCTATAAAAAGTACTTGCAGGCTTTTTAGTTTCAAAGTATTTGATCAGTTCTAATATCTCTGGTACCTCAGAAGCTGTAAAAGCTGCTGGTCCAAACAAAGTTGTTACCATGTGTTGCAGCTGCAAATATTTCCATTGGGCTGATAGAGTTGTCTCTTAAAAGAATGTGTAAAATTCATCTTTCTCATTTGTCAGTTGGTTCAAAGTCAGTATGCTTGCTTCTGTGCAATTTTTCCATATTACCATCTTTCCCTCAATTTTTAAAATTGGGTTTCCCCACAAAGTCAATTTAGCCATGAGTAAATTGATCAATTTTATTTTTATTAGACATTATATCCCATATTTTTCTAACTGACATAATTGTTTTGAGAGACTCCCTAGCTCTAATGTACTTTGATCCTAATGCTATATATGTATATTCTAAAATTGCCCAAGTCAGAAAATTATTATTATGGGAGCTGTAGTTCAGCAGCATATGAAGCGCCACAGGTTAACCAGCTCTGTTCTGACATTTCATTGGTTTCAGTGGAAAGTGCATATTGATCTTTTGGCACTGAAACATACAGGTTTTTAAAGTGCTTTCTAGACTGTCCAATTGCAATTGAGACAACAGGTGTTCTGGGGGGACGGACATGTGTCCCCAAATTTTCATGTTCTTTTTGGTGTGCTGGTCTAAAAGTCATGTTATATGGACCTATTTTGAACTGTCAGAAGAAGGTTTTCAGCTCAACACTAATTTTTTTTTACTTTGTAACTCAGTTAAGTAAACTTGTTCAAATTTCTGCAAATGCAATTAAGAAAAAGGAACAATAGGTGCATTTACTGCTATTGTTGCTGTGTGTGAACATCCATCCTGTACTGGTCATTTATTGTCCACAGCCTTGTTCAGCATCATCCACCTTCCATGTGTTCCTTCCAACAGTTCCTTCCACACTAGTACGTTTCTTGGCTTGGCTTCAAGGTTTCTCTTCCCTTTCTGAAGCTATAACCTTGGTAATATAGGTCTTAGCCTAAGTCTACGCCCTCTTAGGCTAGTCTAGAAGGATGTTTGCCAAGTACAGTGGTACCTCTGGATGCGAACAGGATCCGTTCCGGAGCCCTGTTCGCATCCTGAGCAGAACGCAACCCGCGTCTGCGCAGGTCACGATTCGCCGCTTCTGTGCATTTGTGTGACGTCATTTTGAGCGTCTGCGCCAGCGGTGAAACCCGTAAGTAACCCATTCAGTTACTTCTGGGTCGCCGGGGGACGCAACCTGAAAAGATTTAACCTGAAGCTACTTTAACCTGAGGTATGACTGTAAAGTTTTTTTATTGCAGTCAATATCTTCTCTGCAAGTTTCTTGTTTTGTTTTTTTTCAAATGAAAGCTGATGTTCAGGACATTGCTTAAGTATCTTGGAATTCCAGATCAGCCTCATTTGGTGGAAGGATTCCTCTACTTGCTTTAAGCTTGCCTTTTGTTTTGTTGGTTGTATACTGCCTCTGTGACTGTCTGATAAAGAATGATTAATGTACATTTAATTTTTTAAATTTTTTTAATACTACTTGTACTCTGGTATCAATATCAGAATACAGAATGTTCAGTCTTGAGATCAATTGTGAAGGGTACATAGATGTTTAAATTATCCCTATGGGCAAAACACATGCTTGTATGCAGGGGAAAGATCCATTCTTTATTATTGCCTTTGTTCTGGGATAAACTTCAGTTAAAATGTGCATGTTTCCTTCACAACAGGTGAAAAATGTATGCACATTTTATTTAAACATTTGAACCCAAGTGCAAAATATTACCATATTTGCCTGAATATAAGCCTCACTTTTTCCCAAATTCCAACCATGAAAAGTTAAAGTGCGGCTTAAATTTGCGACCTTACAAAAACTGGCTTTTACGATATCGCTGCTGAAACAGACATATGGTAAAACAGAACAGGTGTGAGTGCCTGTGGAATTTTAAGGGAGCGGCTTATATTCAGGTATTGTCTTTTTCTTCTCCCCCCCCCCCCGAATTTTAAAAGTGTGGCTTATATTCAGGTGCGGCTCATATTTGGGCCAATTGGTATGTAATGCATCCCTTCCAACTCTATGATTCTGTAATTCTATATGCTTCTGAATGAAATCCAGTTTAGACTTCAGAGCTGCTTAAATGCCACTCTGAAGGTGTAAGGGCATTGAGCTTTCACACAGATTCTTCCTTCCTTTCCCCTCTACTATACATAGTTAGAACAGCATACCTTTGGTGTTTACAATGAACTGTTAATTTACTCTACATAAAAATCTTCGGAAGATGGTGGCAGAAGAATCTATAGTGGGGAAACTTTGCAATGTGGAGGTGTCTGGAGTGGACCTCCCTTTCTGCTCGTGGTGGCGGTGGGGAGGAGACAGCAGGGGAATTCCACAATAGCCTGTACACCGAGATGCATAGGATTGCTCCCAAAGTAGCTTAAATGTTTATTTACTGCTATGCTTCATCAACCTTGTCTCTTAGGATGCCAATTGGGTAAGCTATCTTTCTCCACCACAGGTAAATTTAAGAAAGCCACTTTTTAGTATTTGGATACACAATTACTACTACTACTACTACTACTACTACTAAATATGTTTCCTTGACAAGAGATGACTTTAGGAAATTATTTGCTTATATGGCTTACACTAGTTTTCCACTTAGAATCCTTTTTGTTACAACATTTTGGGTGAAATACAAAAACTTGGATGTACAGATGTGTTTAAACTTTTGTTTCCTTTTCGGTATTGTTCAGGGTGGTATAATGTCAGTTCAGGGCACCTGCCTAATCAACTTGTTTTGATACCTACCAGGGGAATTTTTTCTTCAGTTCTTCTCCATTTGATTGTCACCTTTAGTTCAAATTGTTTGCATTCTTTAAGACTGTCCACGGTTCTTCAGTTTTCTCTAGATGTTTTGGTGGTTCCCTCATGCAGGGTGGTAATGGCTCTTCCCTGCAGATGAATGCTGTATGATCTATGCTCAGAAGGGCCCAACCTGCTTTGTAACCAATTGCCTACAAAAAGAAGAAATTCACTCGCACATCCAAGTGTTTATTTCTTCACTATATTCAGTCAATTCCAGTACTCATTTAGACTTCACAATAACATAGTACACTATATCAAGTATATGCTATGGTATGGAGTAAAAACACATTTTTGCTTTATTTGTACAGGTCAGTCGAACATACTGCTGTGGAACCTACAGAGCAGGTCCGATGAGGCAGATCAGTCTTGTTGGAGCAGTAGATGAAGAAGTTGGAGACTATTTCCCAGAATTTCTTGATATGTTGGAAGAATCTCCATTTCTTCGTGTAAGAATTAACTTTATTGCATATGAGAACCTGTAACATATTATTAATCACAGAATGGTTAAGCATAATAATGAATACATGAGTCTGCCTACTACAGGTCCAGGGAACTTTCCTCAGCCTGAGGCATTCCATAATGGGGCTTCTTTTGTGGGGAGGGGGTGTATATGACAGCGGTGGACATGGCCGGGGGTGAAAGGATGTGGTTCCTATCTTTTGTACAGTAGGCTTCATTCCGTGTATCAAAATTCAGAGTTGTTTTACCCCCACAAATCCAACTAAGCAAGAGATGTTACCACAGCCCAATAACACATTCTAACCAGGCAAGATCATTTGAGGAGGACTCAAAGCAGAGCTGGTGAAGGTATGTCTTGCATTCAGTCCCCACGCCTGAGGTTTCCCACTCCACCCCACTGTTTTCACATGAGTGAGTGGAATATATATTACATATTTTGTGTATATATGATTATATCCATGTAGTATAATCCTGGTTTTATAAACACATCTCTCTCTCTGTGTGTGTAGGGTTCTTTTCAATAAGGAAGCTGTGCCTCTCTTCAGTAGCATTTTATCTTGCTGACCACCTGATTTGGATTTCTTTTGCTTTATACAGATGACTTTACCTTGGGGTACTCTTTCTAGCCTCAGACTTCAATGCAGGTCACAAAGTGATGATGGCCCCATAATGTGGGTAAGACCAGGAGAACAGATGATCCCAACAGCTGATATGCCAAAGTCACCATTCAAACGGCGGAGGTAATACTCCTTAAATTTATTTTACAGGAAAGTTTTAATGCTTGCCGTACAGTTGAGTTCACAAAACTCTTTACTGATTCTGATCTCTCAGCTGATCGTATAATTAGTACCAGCTTTTCCCATACTGAAATTTAACTATGCACTGCAGAATGTAGTAATGTTCTTATCTCTTAGTCACCTCAGTGCCATGTATTCTTAACTCCTTCAGGCAGGGACTTGCCTCTGTTTGGTAAAATGCCATGTATACTGATGGTGCCATTGTTTTGAAGTTCAAACTGTATACATTGCAGAGTATGTGGAGCTTTTAAAAACCTTTTCTTCCTCCAGGAAATGGGTAGCAGTATATTCCAGCTTAAGCGCCTAAGTACAAATTATGACATGTAATGTCCCTTAATAGCAATACAGCTGGACACACCAGCATAATATTTGTGTAGAGGTAGAGCATTACAATTCTATATCTTATTAAATGGTTGACTTTTTAAAGTGCCACCATATTAATGACTTTCTAAGCTTCTTTGGGTACTGTTAAATTGAAATATTATTAGAGGCATTTGGCTACGTTCACTGACCCCTGACCTTGCTGCACTTAAGTGTGAGGTTTGATTGGGGCTTGTAAGTGTCTTCACTTGAACACATTTTAGAAGTCTTCCTGTAATCAGGATTCCATTTTATATTTGAGTTATTAAAATCTTGAAGTGCTACAGAGGTTATGCAGAGCCCTTGATTTAAAAAACATCAGTGAGATTTGTTGCTATCATTTGTTTTTATTCTAGGTAAAACTATAAAACTGTAGCTAAATCTCTGAATATCACATGACTGCCTCTATAGTAGAGCTGGGGAAGCTTTTTTGTTTTAAGATGTCAATATCCCCACTGCATAGTTCTAACAGCCTTCTTTCTGTTCTCCCCACTTCATAGATCAATGAATGAAATAAAAAACCTCCAGTATCTACCTCGGACCAGTGAACCCCGTGAAGTTCTCTTTGAAGACAGAACAAGAGCCCATGCTGATCATGTTGGGCAAGGATTTGACTGGCAGAGTACAGCTGCTGTTGGAGTGTTGAAAGCTGTACAGTTTGGTGAATGGTAAGTGTGGTGTAGCAAGTCAGAATATGCTTGGAATTCTTTTGAGCAGATCATTCAGAAAGCTGTCTCGTATGCTGCACTAGAATATTCAGGAAAACAGAACATTTAAAAACCAACAAACCAATATTTGTCAGGAATATTTCATTTGTACTAAGCAAATTGCTAGAGACCAGGGGCTCTCCAGTCTTGTCATAATAAACTACCCTGAGTTAAACTTTGAACCACCATAGAAACAAAGTGAAACTGAGTTTTTGTTTTCTGTGGACCTCTGGGGAAAATGGAGAATTCCCAGTCTACTCAGAGCCCTGCTGATCATAGCTTAGTTCGTTATAGAATTAGGGGGATTTGGGGGATTAGTGGGTCCCTGACACGGTTATACATTTAGATGGAGCAGGTCTAAATCACTGAGCCTTGCCGATCAGAAGGTTGGTGGTTTGAATCCATGCAATTGGGTGAGCTCCTGTTGCTCTTTCCCAGCTTCTGCCAACCTAGCAATTCAAAAGCATACCAGTGCAAGTATATAAATAGGTACCACTGTGGCAGGAAATTAAATGGCGTTTCCATGTGCTCTGGCACTCATCACGGTGTCCCGTTGCACCAGAAGTGGTTTAGTCATGCTGACAGCATGACCCAGAAAGCTGTCTGTGGACAAACGCTGGTTCCCTTGGCCTGAAGTGAGATGAGCGCCACACCCCATAGTCACCTTTGATTGAACTTAACATCCAGGGGTCCTTTACTTTACCTTTACCATACATTTAGAATACAAATGGGCCCCACATATAATTCTCAAGATGTCTACTAGCACATTCTCACTGGAAAAGTCTTCATTTTTCTAGGAGTGACCAGCCTCGTATAACCAAAGATGTAGTTTGTTTTCATGCTGAGGATTTCACAGATGTAGTTCAGAGGCTTCAGTTGGATCTACATGAACCTCCAGTGTCGCAGGTAGTCGGCTCATTTGTTGAAATGTATACTTTGCATGTTGCTTCAAAGCATGATGTTAGTTGCCTATCCCCCCTTACTGCTTGTATTTTCCCTGTGAAATCACATTTCCAGAATATAGTATACAGATCTGGAAAACAAACATGCCCTTTTTTAACCAGATAATGTTACGTTTTGACAAACATTTGATTGGATTGCAAGTGGAAGCACCTTAGATTGTAGTTCATTCCCCTGCCACAAGCAGGATCATACAGTTACCAGAGCCACATTGACCAGAGTGTGTTGAACAGTATTGGGGACATTGCCTCAACAGTGCCTCATACCAGTGCTTCATAGACATACCTTACCATTACATGCGGCCTTTCTTTCCACATGAAATTCCCACATATGAAATGCATATTCAGGCATTTGTTCCAAAATTTCTGTTCCACAACACTGGCCAAACCTGCACTGTCATCTGGATTTTGCAGAAGTGATGATACTGGATTCCTTTCCCTTAAGTGCAGTTTAAACTTCTGTTAAAGGTTCTACCCTGTTAGTGGACAGACATACTTTGTGTGTGTATGTCCTTGGTTCCTGCAGGTTTTTACTGACTGTAGTGAGACATTGTGGGAATAGAACTATATGAATTTGCCCAAGCCTTAAGACTGGTATCAGAGGTCCTGCACTAGCAAAAATGCAATTGGTGGTTACTAGGGGCAGGGTCTTCTCACTCGTGGCACCATAGTTGTCATAACTCACGCAGGAGAGAATTCTACAAGTTCACTCTCTCCCCCACTTTTATATTTTGAATACTTTAAAATTACCTAAGGTACCTTAAAATTGGTTTTAATATTGTTGCATTTTTATAATTTGATTTGTCTGTATGTGTGTTCTGTTCAAAGTAAAGCACTTTGAAAAATAATTTTGAAAAGTGGGGTACAGTTTTTAAATAGTGTTGAGAACAGAAAACCCTTGAGCTAATCAAGAAGTTGTTTTGATCAGTCAAGTAAGATTATTTGTGGGAAGTTTGCATTTCCTTTTGTTTCACAGCTTCCCTGTGGTGTGGCTGTCACAAACTTATGAGTTGGAAGTTTTAACAGTTCACTATTTGCTTGAACCTAGTATAAAGTATAGATATATTAGCCATGATTAAATGCTGCATGTTTCTGAGTAGCTTTTCTCTGACAGTCATGGGGATTTCACTGTTTGCTTTTGCTACCTGAATATGTAAGCACATCTTTTAAGTTGCACCAAATGTTGGACTTGGCTCATTAGTTTAGCAGCAGCAGCTCCAATTCCAGACTGTTGGTATTTGTGCCATTTTGAGGCTTTCCCTTTTTATTGTGGCTAATAAATAATTAAAGGCTGGAGGGCAGAATATGTGCACTGCACACTAAATGCCCACTTTGGGCCTGGCATCTGGTTTACCTCTAACTTCTTTTCTCCTTCAGTGTGTTCAATGGGTCGATGAAGCTAAGCTAAACCAAATGAGGCGAGAAGGGATTCGCTATGCTAGAATCCAGCTATGTGACAATGACATCTACTTCATCCCTAGAAATGTCATTCATCAGTTCAAGACGGTGTCAGCTGTCTGCAGCTTAGCTTGGCATATAAGACTCAAACAATACCATCCTTCAGGGGAGAATTCTCAAAGTACAGAAAGCATTTCAAATATGGACACTAGCATCTGTGATGAGACTAAATCAGAAGGTGAAGATCAATGTGTGCTTGTGAAAAAGGAGTCTGAAGAAGTAGGAACAGAAGTACAGACAGCAACAGTGGCGTCACCATCATTGTTTTCATCTCTGTCGTGACTTGTTCTGCAACAAGATAAGCTGGCTCAGCCCCTTCCAGTTTTTAAACTAGAATCCGATCAGCAACACAAGCCACAGGATGGTCATATATGCTCTCTTGTGTGATATGTACATAATCATATACATTTTTAAACGGCTTTTTAAAATTTTGATGTGAAGTTATAGTTTTATAACTGGGTTATGTTTTATTGGAGAAATCTTGCCTATAATTCTATAAAGAAAGGTGACATTCCAAAATGTCAAGCATATCTTTTTTACACAGATTATGCAAAGTTAGAGTTGTATTTTACTTCCTTAGTACAGCATGTAGTAGTGGACTACATTTTTCTTTGTCATTCAACATCTCCACAAATGTTTTTCCCCTCCTTCAGGAACATTAAGTATTTAACATTTAGTAAATCTGATATCCCTCCGTCTATTTTATCTTTAGCTTTCAGCATAAAAGTGTTGGTTTCTGTGGAGGAGTCACACAGTGACTCTCCCATTTGATTAGTGGCTTGAATGAAAGAGAAAGCACAGCACTTTTAATGATCAATGACATTTGTGTGAGAGAGACTTTGAAAGCCTAGAGAAAGCTCAAGTTACCAGCAGTGTAGATTAATCCTAATTGCTTATCAGCACCTTCACAAAGAAGCTGATATCTGAGATTAGTTGCAGAGTGTGATCTTGTTGAATTGTAATACCTGATGTAACACTTCCCATACCTCTGCTTTTAATGTTTGTGGGAATATTACTTTTTATATCTTCCCTGACTGCAAAATGTAATACTAGTGTCAAATGAAAGTAACTGTTGGCAGTCTCCCTGAGGAAATTGTCATCTTAGAGCACTTTAAGGCTTTACAATATTCTAACCAACTTGGTGGCTTGTTCAATTCACAGCAAGCACCTGAGGTGGAAACCATATGTTCCTTTTCATTGATGCACTTAATCCAGTAGAGTAGGCTTCACAGTATAAATTGGTTGCCTTTATTCTCAAGAATTCTATATTGCTGTTTCACAGGAAGTCTCATGTGTACTGCTATTTCCACATGTAACTCTTGGGTACCCTAGTGCTATGTTGAAAGGTTAAATGACACTCACTAGTATGTTCAGTATCGTTAGCAAGATTGTTTAGCACTCATACAATATTTCCCAATGTTAACTATAGTCAACTTTCATTCATTATTTGTATGCTGAATTACATTTATTTCTGGTACTAGAAGAGATGGGCCCTTCACATGTAGGATATAACCTTTGTTAAGGTGTAATCATAGTTGTTAATAAACAACTCCATACTTGTGGGGTAGGAGAGAGATCTGCAGCACTACATCAATGCAAGTAAGAAAGCAGCTGTGTTTATTTCAACACACCTTTATCAATCTTTTTGAAAAGAACTGCAAATATTAATCTGTTTCTAATAGCAATTACTTTGTGCAATATTATTTTGTGTAGATCATATGCATATTAGTACCTCTGCACAGAGGACAGTTTTAAACCAATAGCAAAATGATCAGAAAATATTGCAGTGATTTAGATAGAAATTGTATTACTCCTGATATATACATGTAAATGTATTGTCTTCAGTGCAGACTGAAGACAAATAGAAAATATTTCAACTTAAAATGAATTTTCAGATTGGAGTGGTGATGAATTGTTAAGTAATCTGTGTAAATAAGGTGTTAGGATGAAAACCTTTTTACAAAAGGTAATTTTTTTAATGCAGGAGTGTAGCTTTTAACAAAATTCTAGATTGACCAATACTGGTTCAGATGATAACCCCTGTGTACTCTGGCTTTTTCCACTTTTTTACTCTTGTCCAGAAGAATTTTCATAAGCTTTAATAGGCTCTGCAAAGTAAAATTCTTCACAGGCAATACAAGTTTCAGTGCATGATTTATATTTGACCAAGTCCATCTTTATTTTTGCATTTCTCTTCCATCCATTTTACTAGTCTTCCAAGCACTGATTTCCCTTTACCCATGCATTGCACATAGCTATATCAACAAATATAACACTGGTCTTTACAACTTAGCATGAAAACAGCACTGTGTATAATCACTCAGGAACTGGAATAAAAAAAAAAAGTTCTTACAGTTGAAGGGAAAACTGTTATCTCTTTGTCCCAAAATAAAATTTTGACAGAATTTAAACAAACAAATTCTAACAATGTGTACTCACAGAAACTCCATTCCCACGTAACAAAAAATAATTAATACATGGACAAACTTCTGTGACCCTTTCTAAGCTTCTAGATTGTATTCTGCCCTCTATGCAGCCAGAAGAATTTCTGCTAAGTTTGCTTTTTGTTTTTTAAAAATATGAGTTTAGCATCCTATGCTAACCAGGAATTCCAACATACAGCCAGTTGTTGAACAGCTGTAGCTGGTTCACACATGCTGATATAAGAGGAAAGTGAAACTAAATGCCAGTGAAGTCTTTCTCCTGGACATCAGGGAGGTTAAAGTGCATGAGTCTAACTTCTGCATAGGCTTTTTCCAGTACATGCACTTTGTGCATTATGCACTTACAAGCATTACGTGTGAAAGTGGCTTAAGTGGTAGTTTAGGACCAGACAGAATTAAAATGGAAACGTAAGGTGGAATTCAATGTCACATGCACTATTGCAAATGTTCTGTCTGAGCAAGCTATTTAGCTTGTCAGATAGAATGACTCCCCTTATCTTCCCTATGTCCTGTTCTGGGGTTATTCCAGATCTCTGAGCCAATTTGGGTGGGCATGGGAGGGAAGTCTTGTTGCGCAAGCAGAAGTCTGATGAGACTTGTCAGGTGAATCCCACCTAGAGTAGACCCATTAAAATTAATGGGGTTAACTTAGTTATGTTCATGAATTTCAGTGGGTCTACTCTGAGTAAAAGTTAGTTCAATACCATTCATAAAAAGTTTTTTTGTACACATTAAATTATAGCAGTGGGCATAAAGTACAACAGAAGCTTGCTTTCAAATGGATTTATACCCTGCAAAAGGTATATGGATCAATCTTTCATGGCCTCTTATGTCTCTCTGCACCCAATGGAGATGGAGAATCTTGGAATGATGTTCTGTGCTTTTCCAGTTCAATATGTTAGTGTTGAATTATGCTGTGTTGTATGTAGTAGCATTTTGAATATATTTCAGACATTTAAAGATAATTCTTTCTGTCATGTTCACTTATCTTAATTTCATTTTAACTATATTGGTTTGGATTGAGAATTAATGCTCCCCTGGCTTCTTCTTGTGCTGGAGGAAGCAGGGTAGAGGGGGGCAGGGAGGTGATTTACACCAATGCCATCTTCCTACTGTAGCCCCCTGAAAATTTTCTCTGGAAGACAGGGAGACCCTCTGGAACAATGTGGGAGGTGGTGGAGGAAAAAATCCCCTTCTTCCTCCAGTGCTCTTTATTCTAGTTTCCTTCAGCTGTCAGAGGAACAAGTCTGGATCCAACCCATTATCTTTTCAAAATGGTTCAGAAGCACAAATTGTCATTACTTCTAAATTCTAGGGTCAAGTACCAAAGAGTTCTGTTCACACACTGAGACTTTGTTGATTTCGCTGCTGAAGCTTTGGACTGTATTCTAGATAGTCTCCAATTTCTGGGGGAATGAGGGGCTGCAGTGGGAGAACAGGCTGCTCCACACAGTGCATGTATGGCCCTCAGGATCTCTGCCTTGGTCTCCCTTTTTTAAATAAGAGACATGCCATGTAGGATTAGCATGGTGATAAATTTACCTGATTTGGGCAAAGGAAGGCTAGTTTAAACATTTGCAATAAGAACAATGATGACTACTACGAACCTGAAAAATAGGAGTGACAGATGACTGGGTTCATATTATCCAAATAACTCTTTATTTGGTGAACATATAACCTTTAGCTCTCAGAGAAATAAGGTATTTTTAGAAGTGAACTTGCAGGAAGATACTGGGAAGTAACATCTTGCATTGTTCAGAAATTTCTGATGCCAACTTAATTGATTATTGAATGCCAAGATGTGCAAATAAAATTCGCTTAACAAGAAATGCAATGTTATAAACTATAGAGCTATGTTTTACTTGGAGTAGGCCCACTGAAATTAACAGTAATTTCTAAGGTCTACTCTTGAGTAAAACTTAGTTACAAAGTGGAAAAGGAGTTCAAAGGCAGAATTATATTTAGATTTATTTATTACAGGTAATTTTCCAGCTGGGAAGACTTTTCTCTGTCCAATTTCTATAACTGAAAACCAGTTATTCTTTGATATATATTGTCTCAAAACTGTAAAGAATCTGCTAGCTACTAGCAGTTTCACAAATACGGTTCTTGTCTAAAGTTTCTTAATCTCTCCATGTTGAATAAATATCCCACTGTTCCTTAAGGACCAAAGAACAACATTAATTTGTGTTCAGTGAATGGTTGTATTGGGCCACTGATCCATTTAGCAAAGCAGCAAAAGTAAGATTAAGAAATAAGTGGAATAGGCATTTCACACCCCACCCCAAATATTTATGAACAAAAATATATTTTGTAAATAACTGACATGTTCTCTTCCATGAAGATGGAACATGTGCAAGGTTCTTTATATTTAAGGGACACTTACATTTATCACACAGATTTTCCCAAACAGTAAAAGGGCTCTTGTTTTGTTGGTAGTTTTCCTACATGTGAGGATGTAGCTGCTTGTCAAGAGATGGGAGAGCCTATGGATGGACATAAATGTTTTCTCATGCTGCCATTCACATGCTTGACTATATTATGAGCAGTAAGCTCTTTTCACCTGGGGCACAATCTAGCCAAGGTTAAGCACTTTTAAGTTCCTTTGATTTTTTTTTTTAATGGGAGATAAGCTGGACTTTCCATTGGAATCTGTGAAACTAAATGTGTTTAATGTTGGCAGGATTGCACTCTCATTTCTTTTATAAATGCCGAGTATTTATAGCCATATTGGTTGTGTTTGAAGGTTGCTATGAGTGGGGTTGCTTCAGTTCCTGAAAGCTTTGTACTGTAGATAAATTTTATGTTGGTCCAATAAACAACTTTCCAATAATGTTATGGCCTTCCATTGATATACATAATAGTTTTAGGACCCAACAGCACATGTAGTTGAGAAGGGGCTTCTCTTAATATAGCACTTTCAATTCTGTCTAAGCAAATACTTATCTTTACATGTTGTATAAAATAGATTTGTGTAGTGTTTTGTGATTAAATTCAGTTTTGATTGGCAGCCAAGATATTTTTCTGTGGTTTTAATATATCCAAGGTCTTTGCATATAGAGGATATGTACAATTGTCTGGAAGACTGTTTTTCCTTTTTCTTTTTTGGCTTTGTGTGGCCTTAGTATATTTATTGACATTTAGCAAGTGTTTTAAAGAGGTTTTTATAATAGTGTAAACTGATGGGAAAATTTTAAGCCTCTCTGTGAATAATCCTCTAACGCAGTGCATTTCTTTTAGTAGCTGACTGTACAAGCGTATCAAACTGTTAAAGTTATTTCTTTGTAAAACAAACAAATAGTACAATGGAATGCATAGATTTTCCCCCTGTAAAGTATTTTTTTAATAAACAGAAGTCTGATTTGTCCTTAATGAAAACTGCTGTTTGGCAGAAAGACTGTTAGAATATTGGGCAGGGGCAGGGATGGACTTTGATAATCTTTTGTAATATGGTGCCTTGTGTGAGCCCAAAATTTGGTGTCCCCAAGTGAATCTTCTCAGTTACAGATCTGCTCAATTTTTCTCCCCTTGGCTCAGCGCCCTGTGCAGGGGAACTTAAAACTGGTGCTGACAGGGTGGAATAAACCATTATACTTTAGAACTTATTACTGGCTGCAAATTAGTCCTGAACTAGATTGTTCCACTGACAGTCATATTGGAAACAAGCAATATGGGAGGGTAGGGTAAATACAGCTGAATCTTTCTGTGCTGAGATGTAGGTACATTTGACACATTCAATTTTTTTATATAAATCTGAAGAGCACAATGTGGGGAGGGGAAGGAATAGAATGGTCACCAGAACCTTGCAATCTTCCTATACTGTATACATTTGAAGCGCAAGAGATAATGCAGTAGTTAAAGTGTCTCTACCCTTTACGCTTCCCGCTTACTACGGGGAAATCATGACCTGTGCTATCTACACCTGCCAGTGGAGGAATGGAACTGTCCACCTGCCTCAACACTGCTAAAGAGGTGAACTTCCCAGATTACCTGCGTGCAACCCTTAAGCCAAAAGCAGTGCCAGGAACAGCATTGAGGAGCCTATATGGAACGTATAGAGCTACTGTAGGGATTGGTTTTAAAAAATCTCACGTAGTCTGATCAACTGCATTGATCAGGCGCTTATAACAGCTGTGCTTGCATGATCTTCAGAGTCCTATTTGCTGAAACGGAGATTTGTCAGAGGTGCAGCACTGGGTTAGATACGAAGTAGTCATGTAAATGCTTACAGGATGGGCTGCTTAGGGCTGTGGAACTAAGAGCCATGTGCCTATGACGCGGATATTTTCCCCGGCCGCTACATGCAAGCACCGTTTGCTTCTAAGTACAACCTAGCAGTTCGAAAGCATGTCAAAGTGCAAGTAGATAAATAGGTACTGCTCTGGCGGGAAGGTAAACAGCGTTTCCGTGCGCTGCTCTGGTTCGCCAGAAGCGACTTAGTCATGCTGGCCACATGACCCGGAAGCTGTACGCCGGCTCCCTCGGCCAGTAAAGCGAGATGAGCGCCGCAACCCCAGAGTCGGCCACAACTGGACCTAATGGTCAGGGGTCCCTTTACCTTTACAGTAAATACATTTTTAAAAAAACCCATCAGAATGTCAACAGCTACAACTTTTTTGCAATTACAGAGTGGTATTTAAGTTAACAGATCAACTTTTTTTTTATGCAGACAAGTGATGATGATGAGTAACTTACTACATCTGCATGTATAACTAATTTGTGCTGTGCACCAACAAGGAACCTGGCGGAGTCCAGATGTTGACTCCGCTTTCTTTATATCGCTCCCTACCCCCCCACCCCCACAACTGGCCAGTGCCCCACTGTCCCTCCTTTCCCCGCTGTCACGGGGCCATTCGCCCCTCTTATATTTTACGCACAACTTCGCGTTCCACCCCCACCCCGCTTCTGCTGATCCTGGATTCGGCGTTCGGCTGCCGCTGCCTTGCTGCCGACGTCCCTTTTGCCGAACGGCGAAGAGAAGATCAGCGGGGGCAGCAGCGCTCGGCTGGCGCTGCCTCGCCCTGAGCAAAGATGTCGGCTGCGGCCTTTCCCCCGATCGGTCCGGGAGCCTGGTCTCTCCCCTGGAGGCGCCGCTCCGCGTTTCCATGGTAACGGTGAGAAGCCACTGAGCGGTGGAGGGCAAGCGCTAGGCCTCGGCGGGGGGAGGACCGCGGGATTAGGGTGGAAACGGGCGGCTGCGGGCTCCTGGGGTAGGAGAGAGGCAGGGTGAGTGTGTTGCGGGGTGGGGTAAAGGGTGAGGCTCGGAGGGGCAGGAAAGGAACGGGGGTGGAATAGGGCTGGGCGTCGACGAGGTGAGGCGAAGGAGGGATGGAGAAGAGGAAAAAGGGAGCTCTGCAGCTGCGTGTGGAGAAAAGGAGGTTTTAAACAGAGGAGTGGTTGGGTTGGCTGAAGATTGCGGCTCCCCGCGTGCAAAGGGGAAGAAAAGGCTGGGAACGGCTGCGTCGCAACCTGATCGATTCTCAATATTGGCTCGGGAATGCGCAGCAACCTGATTGATTCTCAATATTGTCTCGGGAATGCGCAACTCAAGACCCTCCCGAGAAGACGGTTTTTTTTTTTGCACCGGAGCATCCCTGTGCCATCACGGCGGTGATTCCTAAGCCGAATCCATCCGTAAAAGTTTTTAAGTTTTCCGTTAAAAATACAAGCAGCAGCAACCCGGGAGGATTATGATTTAAAACGGGTTGGAAAATTAAAACAAGCTGTTGTTCTTCTAAAAGCAACACCTGCATATCGTTTAAGCAACAGAAAAGATTAGAGCCACCAACCCAGCTGGACTGTTCTTGGCTGGCCTTGAACCAAGTTGGCCAAGGGCACCGACTTCTGATGCCACCCTCAGGTTGTCTCCTGGATGATGCTTAAGATCCTAGGCTTGGATAACGAGCTCTCTTTGTTTTATTCAGGTAATTTGATTATTGATTTTGGAGATGCCAGATGGCCTCAAATGGTGAAGATGCCATTGCTTGGTACCAAAAAAAGGTCAGTCTTGAGGCTTATTTTTGTAATTACTTTCGTCCGTTGTACAGATGCATGTGGGTTTCCCCCATTCTGTAGGTTGCAATTAAAACTGTACCTGAAGAAGGGGGAGGGTTTTAAAGAATATTCATGTTTGTTTTGAACATGGTACGGCAGACTACATTTTTTGGTGCCTGCTACAAAGTTATTGTAGATCGTTTCTGTGCTTCAGGCTGCAATCCTATACATGCTTACCTAGGCATAGATTGATTTCTTAAGAAGGGTGTGTGAAAATTATTATGGACAAAGTATAATTATGTATGCATTTTCCTTGATTATCTTCTTTGATGTATGATATATTCCCCTTGAGTCATCATTTTCTTTAACTTATAAAATATTTAAAGGTTTTTGGAGGCTTTCTTCATAAGTTAGTACTATATTGTTTAAGTTTTGGAGATGGCAATACTCTCCTAAATTTCTGGAACCAGGAAAGCATTAGAATTTAACTAAGCCCCATGCTGGATGCAGCAGGGTTTCAGTTGCTGAGAATGGCTGTGTCATTAGGCAAAGGCTATTAGCATATGGGCCATTAGCAGAGGCTCTGCCAGACAGCAAGAGGGTGGGGCTGCTTCTTCTGCCTCCTTCCACTGAGAGATACCTAGTTAGCAGAGACAAAGGCCAGAAGTGGTAGAAGGATTAGGATTATGGTTTTGCCTGATACAAATTTGAGGGAAAAGGTGTCAAATCTGTAAGCAGCAAGCTGGGACAGGGGGAAAGAGGGCCATAGTTTATTTCTGATGGGATCCACAACTGTGGTCATGGGAGAACCAGGACCCTCTTGCTGGAAGCCCTTGTATTGTAGGCTCAGGTTGTATATACAGGTGAAACTCGAAAAATTAGAATATTGTGGAAAAGTTCATTTATTTCAGTCATTCAAATTAAAAGGTGAAACTAATATATGAGATAGACTCATGACATGCAAAGCGAGATATGTCAAGCCTTTATTTGTTATAATTGTGATGATTATGGCATACAGCTGATGAAAACCCCAAATTAACAAACACTTGTATGTGTAAATAAACTATACATCATGAAGACATCACTGTCTCTACTGTGGAAATATGAACCATGGGTAAGTGCCTGGGCCCCTGGAATCTCACTTGTGGATATTGGGGTGGCATGGAATAAATATTAAAACATGCAGTTTGCCCCCCGCATTCCCTCAATGCTCTTCATGTCCATAGTTTTAAATAGTGGGATCCTGGGTAATAACTTGATAAATTGCTTAATGTCTGTATTGTTAATATTTTGAATTTGGAGATGGAAGTAGAATACAGGAAGCAGTTTAGTTCCCTAGACTCCTCTTTGACTAACACAACTCTTTTTCAGATTGGAGCCTATGATCAGCAGATATGGGAAAAATCTATAGAACAAACTGAGATGAAGGTAAATCTCTTTTGTGAAATGACAGAACTCAAAAGTACATTGCATCTTGACAAATAGATACAGATGTGAAATAAGCATGCCAAAGAGGATTGTGTAGCATGTAATATTTCCTAATTACAGTTGCCCTGATCTGATACAAGAGCTACTTGTGGTTTAGGAAGTTCTGAAGGTGCACACAAGCTTTCTAGATGGAAAGCAATGGCTTTCCAGTTCACTGCAACATTGAAGACAGCTGTGCGGATGCAGCCTCATTGCCATAAGTGATGAAGTCTGTGCCTGCTGGGAATTTGATCCCAAAGGGTCAGTGGAGCTCTAGGTTCAGATTATAGTGTTATGAGAAACTAGAAAGAAGCTGTACTATGCTGAAGAACTGGCAAACTAGGTGTGTTTCATTCTGACAGAAAGGAATCACAATAAAGGAACTGATCTGGACGAGAATGATATGAAGATTGTGACCTTTATATTAATATCTGTTTCATGGGAGTTTGCCCATTTTCTCATGGTTTTATCTTGGCCTGGCTTCTTTTGTTTTGAATAACTGTACTCTGTTAAATAACCTGTGACTGAGAGATTTGCATATCATTGATTAGCCAAAGATTGAAATTGCCTTTACTTTAGTCTTTTTGAAATACAACGGAATCATAGAATTGTAGAATTAGAAGGAACCCCAAGAGTCATCTAGTCCAACCACTGGCAAAGCAGAAATCCTGCCCACAGCATAATATTAATACACAACAAAATACTAGCTGTAACTGTACAATTTCATAGGGTTGCCATACATCTGGAATTTCCTGGACATATCTGGAATAATTTGGTTGTTAGCAGTGTCCGGGTGGAAATTGGGAAATGTCCAGGAAAATCTGGACATAAGACAACCCATGTCAGCAGTGTAGTTTTCGCCGATTTTCCATAAAAATAGACAAAAAAAGTCAACAACTTCTCTGTCCGGATTTTCACTGTTTGAAATATGGCGACCTTAAATTTCAGCTATATATGACTGTTGGCCTAAAAGAGCCTAACAAAAATGTATATGTGGCATATTTCCCGGGGGGGGGGAGGGATCATAAGAACATAATGAAAACTGTGCTGGATCTGACCAAAGTGCCATCTAGTTCCGCATCCAGTTCTCTGAGGGGCCAACCAGATGCTCATGGAAAGCCTGCAAGCAGGACATGAGTGCATCTATTATATATTTCATATTTTTATTTATATTTCACTGCTGTTGACAGAGAGTTGTCCTTTGCACTCACAAATGCAAACTGATTCATTGAAGAACTGTATTATTTGCCTTTAGTTATTTTGCAGATTAAGCATAAATAGGCAACCTGAATTTCTTTAAGTGTTTAATTACTAGGTTTTTATCTACAGTAGTGCTGAAATTTTGCAGAAAAGTTCTGGATGGTTTTGGACATTACATGGAAGGGGATAGTAGGTTGTAAAATATGATAGGCTTGAGGTACTGTAGGAAACAGGAACTAGTGCAAGGCACAAAAAACCTCATTTCATGCCCCATGACTCTCAACCCAATGTTCTCAGGTCTGTGTACCTTTAAACATACATTTCTCTCATATTTTCATATTTTTATATAAAGGGTGAGCTTAAAATTTGCTTTTTAAAAATAAATAAAAAGCTAGATAAATAAATAACCTCATCTCAGAAGTCCTGTGACAGTACACAGCCTCTGTGCTGCATATACATGCATAAGTGTAAGGAATTCAAATACCCAGAGGACATGAATGATTATTTATAAGCCAGTATCTTTGCAAATGAGATTAGAACTAGGAGATACAAGTAGACAGCCTATTATATTCACTACAAAATCTACTCATTCTTTATGATTGAATTTATAGGGCTTCAAAAACAAACCCAAAAAGAAAGGCCGCATTCAGCCTGATCTTATAGATGTTGATTTAATCAGAGGTAGGTATTGTGTGAATAACTGCATTTATGCTCATCATCACCATTTTACATGAGTCTGGGAGGTCAGGTAATTATTTCATCTTTTGAATAGGTATGACATTTAGTACAGTTTTAATTTTATTTATACACAAATTTCTGTCCCACCTTTCGGACTAGTGGCCAAAAAAAGCTGCTTATAATAATTAATAAAATAAAATAAAAGTAGTAAGCAAATAATAGCAGGGGAGAAATCATAAAAGCTCAACACAATCAAAAAGTGTGTTGAAATCATGATCTGATGAAAACCGAAAGGAGTGGTGGGACCAGTAGTGTAGGAAGATGCAGGCACAGTAAAAAATTAATTTTGCAGCATCTCTACACCAGTGTTTCCCAAACGTTTTTGGGCAACGGCACACCTGTTTACCGGAAAAAAATCTCGCGGCACACCACCATTAAAGCCCCGCCCCGTGACGTCAGCGCGCAGCGTCACGCCGGGAGGGACGCACAAAAGTCAAAGTTTTTTCCCTCCCCGCGAAGCAATGAAAGAGGGCGCCTCAACACCGGGAGGTGGGCAGGGAGCGGGGGGAGCGGCCAGACGGGCTCCGCTGGGGGACTTTCGGCTGCCGGAGGCGGGGAAGGGGCGGCTGCAGCGGACCCGGAAGTGGTTGCGCCCATCGGGGGCGGTGGGAGCGCGCCGTGCGGGTTGGTGGGTGGGGGAAGGAGAGGAAGAGGAGGGGGCGGCGGCGGCGGCCGGAGGCTGGACGGATCCGCGCAGGGACGGCGCGCGAGCCGGGAGGAGGCGCGAAGAAGGAGGCAAGGCGAGAGCAGCGCGGCTCGGGATGCATTCGGACTGCCGGCTGCTGCGCCCGAGACGCGGGGTATGGTGAGCAGCCCGGAGCGCCCGCTCCCCCGGGGGACCCGGCCGGCGCTGGCCTCCCTCCTCCTCCTCCTGTTGCTGCTCAGGCGGGACGCGGCGGCGCAGAAAGGTGCGTGCGGGAGCCCCGCCGGGAGGGGAGGGACCAGAGCCTTCCCGCCTTTCTTGCTTGGCGCCCACCCAAAAGCCCGCCGGGTTTTCGCGCCTTCCTCCAGTAGGCCGGCCGAAGCGAGCGGCGATGGGATGTGGGAGCTCGCTCGCTCGCCGCCCCGCGTGTGCTCGCCGCCGCCGCCCCGCCTCTCGCCGCCCGACTCGCCCGCCTCCCTCCCACGGCACACCAGCCGGTGTCTCACGGCACACTAGTGTGCCGCGGAACACCGGTTGGGAAACACTGCTCTACACTTCTGAAGTCAATAGGACCAGTGATGAATGCAGTGCACAGGCTGGATTAGGTTGGGAGAAAATTGTCCTGTAAGTAAACTGGTCCCAAACTGTTTTCAGATTTATAAGTAATAACCAGTGGTCTGAATTGGTTCCGCAAGCCAATTGACAGCCAGTATAAATTGCTTTCTAAAGTGTATTACTCCAATCTTGTTCAAGTGACAAATAATGGCCGGGCTGCTCCATTTTGCATCAGCTGAACTTTCCAAACACTTCTCAAGGGCAACCCTATGTAGAGTGCAGTAAACTACCGTAATCTAGAAGTGACAAATGCATGTGTAGCAGTGGCCAGATAGGCTTTCTCCAGGAAATGGCACTCCTAGTGCACCAGCCAAAGCTGTGCAAAAACTCTCCTAGCCCCAGCCGGTATCTTGACAATCCAGCAGCAATGCTGTGTTCAGGAGCACACTCATAAAGATCTGTTTCTTCAAGGGGTGTGAAGACCTCAACCAGAACAGACTAAACACCTAATCATATCTTTGTTTTCCTACTTACTGATAATAGCTTTGATGAAGCCTCGCTTTGTTAGCTTGCATCTATTCTGATGTAATGGAAAGGGAAATATGGGTGAAATCAGCATGTTGATGGCATGCAATCCCAGTGTGAGCTCCCACTTCATGTAGATCAGCCTTCCACAGCCCGGTGGCCTCTAGATATTTTCAATGCCAATTCCCATCAGCCCCAGCCAGCATGACCAATAGTCCGGGATGATAAGTATTGTAGTCCAAAACATATGGAGGGTACTACATTGGAGGAAGTTAATGTAGATGTTGAATAGAGTAAGATGGAACCCTTCAGGGACCCCGTTGGCTAAGCAGGTGAACAACAGCCTGCCAATACTATATCCTGGAACCACCCTTTCAGATAGGATTAGAACTGCAGGAGAGCATTCTAAACTGTGCTAGCAGAAGAGGTTTACACTTTACATCTTGCTGTCTATAGCAGGGGCAGGGAACTTTTAAAATTTTTATTTAAGAGCTGCATTCCCATTTGGCCAACCCTCCAGGGGTTGCATGCCAATGGTCGACATGGCACATGTTCACTCTCCCAATTGCTGGAGGGTGGGTGATCTTCCTAGAGATTGCAGTGTGGGAGGGAGGGTTAACTGCAGAAATGCTACCCTTTAGCAACAATTATTCAGTTACATGAGCTTGCAGTCTGAAATGATACTTCCCTGGTGCAGGTTTCACACTTTATCTGTTTGTAAGAACTAGTCCTGAGCGGCCGTGAAGTTTTGCAAATATTTTCCTACATCCACAATTTTACAGGGAGTCTTGGACTGAGTAAGGGAGGAAAAAAGTCAAATGCATTTCCCCTTAATTCCCAGATAAACTACCTGTGTTTTTCATGTATGCTTTCTAGGTTCCACATTTGCCAAAGCTAAACCTGAAATCCCTTGGACATCTCTGACAAGAAAAGGGCTTGTGCGGGTTCTTTTCTTCCCCTTTTTTAGCCAGTGGTGGATACAAGTAACTTCCTGGCGTATTTTTACATGGCTGCTAGCGCTCTACCTCCTACAAGGTGAGTAAAGCTTGAGATTATGTTAGAGTAGCTTAAAGAGAAAACCAAGATGACCTATTTTAGGATGGTGTAATCAATCTGATCCATCAAATTTAACAGACCTGCTTCAGGCAAATAGTTGGAGGACGACTTTTGCAACAAAACATCAAGAAGTCAGGAATCAGTCCTAAGTCATTCTTCACTTTTGCAGCTTGGTGGTACATTTGCTCCTTAACATTTTGGAAAAGAAGTGATTTTGAGAGAGAATCTGTCCCTGTAGCTCATCTTCACAGACTTGACCTGGTAGAAATAACAGTCTGGGATTCTTGTCTGCTCACTCTTGAGCTTGCTTTTCAACACTCTCCTCATTTCTATCTCCCCTTCGTATCATTTCCCTTCTATTTACATTTTTTGTTTCCTTTCACTTTCCTCTTTGCCATCACTGCCCAGCTTTAAATGGACTTTGATCCAATGAGGAAGAAAGATCAAAGCTGGTCATGGGGTAACCTTATGATTGCAGAACACAAGCTTTGTTGTGTGGACTGCAACAGCACTTGATAAACACATTGTTACCTGATTTTCATCATTTATCCAGTTCTTTTCAAAGTGAGAGAAAAGTCATGCAAATAATTTTGTTGTAAATTATCCGTCTTAATAATACACCAGCCATGGTGGGAATTATGAATTAGAAGGAATCTTTATTTAGTTGGGAGTCTTTTTCCTAAATACTGTCTTTGTACCAGACTCAACTCCATTCAGGGATTCCACTGATAGTAATGCTTCAGAGTGCTTATCCCAGCTAGATTAAAGGTTTAAGTAAACACTTTTGTGGAGAGCATGTTGTCAGGTATTTGCTTTTCCATTAAACAATTCCAAAGCTGTGTGCTGTTTGTTTGAGACTTAATTGAGAATATAAGCTTGTTATATTATGTGCCATGTGAATGCATATATGTTAGAACTGGCTATGATTAAATTTTAATTGCTACACAATTTGTACAGCCTGTGGTAAGATATATTAATAGATGTTTTGTGGTATAGCTAAGATTATAGGATGTGATTTCACATATAAAGTTCCTATATGGGCATTGCAAATGATTCAAGAACAATTAGGATTATATCAGGTAATTACTCCCATTTTGTTAGGAAATGATCTTACAGATTTACAAGATCTGCTATCATACCCTACATTTCAGAAACAACTAGAAGTTAAGAAGTTGGGAGAACAGGCCACATTAGAGGTATAATATAGAAACCACATTATGACCAGCTAACCAGGTGAGGGTAGCCAATGGGTCTCAAACCTTCGGTGAGTTAGGGACTTCCCCTGTATGCAAGTATCTATGCTGCCCATTCCCACTTGAAAAGTAGTCACTGCTTTGCCTTGCAGAAGCATTCATGTTTAGTTGGCTAGAGAGAAGCTAGTAAAGGAAGTTTTCCCCCTTCCTTTTGAAGGATGAAACCATCCCTTTAGCAGCAGCGTGTTATCTGTTGTGTGCTCTGCCAAAATGAGCAAGTTCAGGTGTGTGAGTTTCCTAGAGAGAGCTCTTCCATGTGCTTGGACCAAGCAGGATTGGCCCCCTTTTGCATCAACTGCGGTGGGGAGAGAGATCCTGCTAAGTGCTGGCTTTGGATGTGTGAGAGAGCTCCCTGTAGATAGTCACTAGTCTTCTAAATCTTCAACCCAGTTAGATGGTTGGTATATAAATTATTATTATTATTAGTAGTAGTCGTCACTTGATTATGGCCCCCAGCATTAACAAAGAGGTGTTTTTATGTTGTATTACTAAAACAAAGGTTTGCCTGGCAGACAACTTACTTACATTTTTTTTCTTCAGTCATAGCAATTGTGTTGTACTACATGATGCCAGTTGTGAGTGCAAGTGAAATTATTGGACCATTGTTCCTTATGCTGCTGATGGGGACTGTACACTGTCAAATAGTATCTACACAGTTATCGAAGCCATCAGGAATTGATGGAAGCGGTGTTTGCCGGAGAAGGAGGTGAGAGAGCAAAGTCAGTAGATTGGAAAGGGTCTCAGTTTTTAAGGTGCTTGCTGGAATTAGAACATATGGTTAGGCACTACAGTGGTACCTTGGTTCACGAATGGCTTAGCTGACAAACAAATGGGCTCCTGAACGCCGCAGACCCTGAAGTAAGTGTTCCAGTTTGTGAACGTTTTTTGGAAGCTGAACATCTGACGCGGCTTCCACTTGAGTCCAGGAAGGTCCTGTAGCCAATTGGAAGCCGGGTCTTGGTTTTTGAATGGTTTTGGAAGTTGAATGGACTTCTGGAATGGATTAAGTTTGAGAACCAAGGTACCACTGTACTTAAATGTCACCTTTTTGGGTCCTTGAGTGTATGTGTTATATAAATTCTCCCTTCCATGTTGGCTGGGACTCCTAGCAGAGGTCATAGGTCGGCCTCTACACTTCTTGTGATTTGATTCCACTCTTAGAGGTTCAGTCAGAACATGATGGCATGAACTCTAGGGTGGATGGATCTGTCATTTCGTGAATGAAGCAGTGCATTTGTATTTTCAGTTCTTACTGCTATTACAGGCATTGTTGGGGATTTAGAATTCTCTTTGAACCCACCCTGCTTCCAAGTTCAATAGGACTGGGAATTGTTGGAAGAAATGAGATTGGATCATTTAGGTGAGGAGTGATGTGTACTGCGATAGGGCATATACAGACCAAACAATGTTCATCATTCCAGCCACAGTGGCATTACCAAGACTTCTTGGATCTGGGAATTCCTAAGAGCACATCTTGCTCCTTTGCAAGTATTTCTTTTTAAGAACACTGGAAGGAAATCTGGTATTTTAATGGTTCCACAGAAATGCCAGATTCAGCAGTACATGGCTAGACCCTTGGTATTGTCCTAGCCATATCGATCTACTGCTGGGAGAAGACAGAGAGAGAGAGACAGGAAAAGACGATTTCATATATAATCAGTTCATTATGGTCACAAGGGATTATCTCCACTCATTCTCCCATGTGTTTATCTGACTACCCATGCCCACACAGCCACACACACTAAGTTCACACTGGTAATGTTTGTCTTCCACCTATGTAATATGTGTCAAGGATTCTGCAAGGAGTGAGAGTTTGGCCATCTTACAAAACTCTGATCTGTTGCTAAAACATTTTTTCTAATGTAGGAAAATGCGAAAATATGCAGGAGGCGATGGCAGCATTCCATACTCTTCCTTAGACAAACTCAGCAGATCTGAGGAGCCGTCCAGGGAGGGGTACGGTTGGTAGTGTTGGCTTGTTCCGGAGGTAGCAATTATATATATTTTTATCTAATATTTTTCTATCTGCTGTCCTTGCCTCTGTTACATCATATTCTAATTTTATGGAATGTTGTCTTTTGTAGGCGATTTAGTTGTTTTTATTTAAATGATGGAAGTTGGCCTTGCATAGGCGTGACAAGCATGACACTCAAGAGAGCGCAAATGGTTCTCCCCTACCCAGTGCTATTTTTCTAGAAAAACACCTCCTTTGTTCTCTTCTAATGGCAATGGCGCACGCCTAAGAGGTGCTGGAACTGTGCTCTGGTGAGTTCCGGCTGGAAAAAAAGCCCCACCCCTGCCTTCATACTTTGCAACCACCCTGTCAGATAGATTAGGCTGTGGCAGTCCCAAGGCCCTTCATGGCTGAGCAAGGATTGAAACCTTAATCTCCACAGTGATTGTCTAATACTCTAGCTACTGTGCTACACTATGATTTGCCTTTGAAATGGAGAGAGTTGCATTGTTTTTCGATGTCCTCTTTGGGATAAAAGATGAAGCGTTATTGAGAGGAATTATTTTTCTCCCAACTAGTTTTCAGTCAGACAGAGGAATTGTTCTGTTCATCTTTTTTAAGAGTCCTCTTTTCAGTAGATTTTAAAATAGCAATGGGAAATTTCCCTTGTACATAATTATGTCTGGCCTGCTGCCCATGCCTTCTCCAGGGGTTTGAAACTTTGGAACACTTTCTTTTAGTTCCAAGAAAAAGAAAGAAAGAAAGAAAGAAAGAAAGAAAGAAAGAAAAGAAAGAAAGAAAGAAGCCAGTGAATGTGTGTGTTTATTCTTTTGATAGAAAAAGAAATGGATAATTCTGTAATCCCTCTGCCATTTCTTGATTTTATTATTATTTCTATTATTTCACGTATGGATCACTTCCTATGAAGCATCTCAACTTCACTATAAAAATGTGTAGAAAGAAGACATGCTATCTATAGCATTTCCTTCCTTAGGATTAAAAGGGGAAGACGGGTAGCGGATAAAGGGACTGAAACGGAACATAGCAGTGGCGTGAAACGCCGGATTTCCAGATCTGAACATAGCTTGCAGCGGTCCAAGGAGGCGGTCTTACCTAGTGCAGAAAAAACCCTGGTAAGATATGATATAAGTTTGATGCTTTAGTTTTCCAGATGCAAATGTCAAATGGGTTTTGTAGGAACAATTTTATATATATAAATTGCCTGGGAATATATATATATATAATATATATATAAAATAGCCTGGGAACTTCCTCTCTGCCCAGAACATTGAAGGCTATACACCACACCCCCTCAACAGTATTTATAGGAACTCAAACACTGAGATCCTGCTCTGTTCCAGTAACAAGAAGCCGAAAGCACCAGCCTGAAGATGACGAGTGAGACCTCGTCGAAACGTCGCCTAGACACCCCAACTTTTACACGGGAAGACACCCGAGGACACCAAAACCTGCATTCCTGTACCCGTGAAAATCTACGAAAGCATATATATATATATATATATATAACCTCTCCTTTTTTTAATTGCTTTATTGATTGTAAAAACAAACAAACAAAAAGAAACAGTCAACAAAAAACCCAAAGGTTAATACGAATTACAAAAGATAAGTTAATTTCGTACAACACAACTTCTGTTATGACTTCCATTACATCATTATCTCTTTGAATCCTACCTTTCCTCCAAGGATCAGAGGGTGGCACATGTGGTCACAAACTTTATTTTCAAACTTTATTCTCAGAACACACCTGTAATGAGTGATGAAAGATGAAAGTCAGTTAATGACCCAATGTCACCCAGTGTGTTTCATGACCAAGCTGAGATTTAAAGCCCCTTGATGGTAGGGATACCTGCACTGCATCCAAACTCCTTCAGCATGGTAGATTACTTTGCCATGCTACCATGTAGGAAAATAGCAGTGAAGGTTCTTGTGACAGCAACTTAGCCCTCTGTCTCACAGCCTGGAGCAAATGGCAGTGCTTTTAGGAGAGTAATAACCATGCTGATAACCATATGTCGCTGAAACTAAAGTTATTGTTGCAATTCCTCTCCTTTCAGTTGTTTGCTTGTAGTGTTTAGTTGGTACTACAGTGGTACCTCTGGTTACATACTTAATTTGTTCCAGAGGTCCGTTCTTAACCTGAAACTGTTCTTAACCTGAAGCACCACTTTAGCTAATGGGGCCTCCTGCTGCTGCCGCGCCGCCAGAGCATGATTTCTGTTCTCATCCTGAAGCAAAGTTCTTAACCCGAGGTACTATTTCTGGCTTAGCGGAGTCTATAACCTGAAGAGTATGTAACCTGAAGTGTATGTAACTTGAGGTACCACTGTATTAGCAAGCAGTTTTCTACTTACTGGTAACTATTACACAGATTATGCTACATGAACACGACGAGTTCGATCTGCATGATGTTGACTAGCTTTCATTCTAACTTGTACTCTTTTCAGGTTAATGCCAGGCGCTCTGGGGTTTCTGATGAGCTGTCAAGTGAGGAGGATACAGATGCTGTGAGTCAGAACATTTTGTTGCGCAGAAGTGTAGAAGGTGCCCCTAGTGAAAATCAGAGCAGGAAACCTTCTGTTACTACTTCTGTTTCTCCAAACCAGTCAGTATCACAGGTAAGTTACAGTTTCTGTAACAGTGATTGGTGCTTTAGAGAAGTAATTACTCCACTTCCACAGACCCGGGTTGGGTGTCATCTTTGATCAGAAGCAGCAAGAAAATAAACTGTTAAATTTTATTTAAAGCCCTGGATTAAATGCTGCCATGTTGTTAAATGTATTTCAACTCCTCAGTACTTGGGGATGCCTGGAAATGAAATGAATAATGCTTATTTGGAATTGACGTAAAATGTAAGCCGCTTTTTCTAGTATATTTAATGTATTAATACAGTTTGTGTTTTAGATGGACATAACAAAATATAAAATAGAATCACAGAACTGACACTGACATCTAGGATGACGACTTTCTGTTTTGGTACCCAAGGCCTTTTCTGACTCACTATCCCGGTAGACTCAGTAGTTTTGCTTGTTCTAGAGTAAACCCAGAAGGAAACATGAGTTTAATGGTGTTTAAAGAAAATAAAGCGTAAGGATTTTAGACATGAAGATAAAAATAAATCTATTAAAAAGTACTTCTTAGATAACAGTATTTTCAGATGTTAAGGATAGGAGTAAGTAGTTCAAGATTAGAGGCTTCACATTTCTAGCTATCTAAAGTTAATTTTAAAGCAAAACTCGTTTGCTGTTGATGAAAGGAAATAACTGTTCAGAAAAGTTATATAAGAAGGTCCCTCTTCTTATATAACATCAAGGTGCCTGCGGTGGCAGCAGAAAAACAGGAGGTGATGGTCTCCTAAGTGGCAGCTAGAGTTTGCAGTTGTCATAGGCTTAAGGGAAAATTTGGCTATTTAGATGACTTCATACACCTGCATTTTTAAAATTAAAAATCCCAGCTATTGGAGCCTTATGCACAAGGAAGTAATGCAAAAGTACCACTTGATATATAAATTCTGTTAGCTACTCTTGCCTTTTCATTGTACACTTCAGAAGTATGGATGGCAAGATGTACGTATCTATGGTGGCTCCCCATGGGTTTTAGAGCCCTGATTTTCCAGCATTCTACAACTCGCATAAAGACCCCACTTCACTTTCTGCAAGTTGGAAGGCAAGAAGAAATGGCAAAGTAAGGTGGTGAAGGAGTAAGATTAGGACTAAGCCCCCACCTCTGGTTATGTTTATGTAGGGGTGTGTGCAAGCACACACACACTTTGAACAAGAGAAATGGGAAGATAAGAAATAGTACGTTCATTCCCACATGTAAAAGTTCTGCACTTACTGTCTTTTGTGGTCTGAGGCAGATCAAGGAGGTCGGGAAATCTATGCAAGACTCTGACAGCATAGAGGAATCGGAACTGGACACAACAGTTCTTCATGAGGTACCAGTTTACCCAAAATTTTAGATTATTACAGTATGTCACATAAGTTGAAGAGCCTGGATGCAGATAATCGCCCTTTTTGAATTTGGGGTTATCTTTAGCCCTATGCGAGGAAGTAGTTGCTTATGTTTTTTTCTTAAATGACATGACCCTTTCAATGCAACTTTAATTGGGTAGGTGATGATGGAAAATGAAATGAATGACACCTGTTTCCAGTTGAAACATACTACTTTATCTCAATGTCTGCTCCTTGCATTGTCTGAAAAGGCACATTGAGCAGTTCATAGTCAGCAGAATGGGAATAAATATGTGCTCCTTACTTGAGTATTGCATTTTTTTGCTCAATATCTCTAGGTATACCTATAGCTGACTCAAATATTCATCATGCTTTGCTATACCCAATGTGAGACTCAGAATGCATTCTTGTTGTAATGGTAAAATGTTCTTCTGTGATGTACCACTTCTATTTAAAAGCGAACAAAGAACTGGCCAGTTTATTTTTAGGAATACAAGATTCTAAGGTGTATAGCCCACTTAGTTTTGGGAGTGAAAAGGGAGATCATGACATTTTATATAGCATCAGAGTGGAGAAATGGGAGAATTTTGTTGAACTTTGAATGGCTTTTTTCATTGACTCTTCAACAGTGGGGATCTATTGTTTTCACTGCTTAAAAATTTGTTTCTACTGAGAAACTCCATTTTGTTAAAGCTCCCCACTGACAATAAAAATTCACCCCAAAATATCACACAGTGCTCTGTGACTGGTGTTCTTTGGACACTGATCTCTTGTGTTAAAGCAATATGTTGCTCTTTCCTTTCTAAAATCAAATTTATTTCTGTATGAAATAAAAATTAAATCTCTACCAATCTGGAGAAAATCTTCTTACCTGCCTTCCAGCACTGGCAAGTCATAAAAATGTTGACTTCACTGGTGCACTGGAGCTCCATTTAAAGCAGAAAACTAGCACATAAACTGGTTTATCTAACACTATTTTTTATGTTGCAAAATTAAATTCTGAGGAGGTGTAGTCTTCCTGTTCTTCTTAGCTTGTCTCTAGGGTCCTGCATTACATATTGCAGTGCTTCTGGATGAGTATAGGACACATTTGTCTATTACGTTTGTACTTTGTGGTAGTGCCCATGTCTCTGTCCCCCTGGCTTTCATTTTATCCTCACCAAAACCTTGTCAGCAGCCAGTCTGGGAAAACATGTGTTTACCAGGAAACTTGAAGAAGAGCAGGAGAGTGTTTTCAGTCACAAGTACACCACTTGAGAAGCTAGTGATTGTAGCAGTTGCCTGGTATGCATTTCTGCAATCTGTGATTAAAATGCATGCCCTTTCTTACCACTGAGAATACTTATGCTTGCTATCAGCACCCTATTCAGTGTAAGTACATGAGTTCAGCATGATTCTCTGGTCCCTGGAGGGCACGGTTATATGATTCCCTTTGCAGGGGGACTTTGTAGAAAATGCTAAGCTAGCAGACCCAGGGGAAACATATGGCAGACAATTCTAAACAGAGGAGGAATCTGTACATTTTTCTTGCTAGGAATAGGATTGGGCTTGTTTGCAGTGTTGCAGCTTAAATCAGTAAAGCATTGTACAGGGGCAGTTTGGGCCTCATTGAAGTGGCCATTTAGTGACTGGTCTCAGCTGAATCAGTTGGCATGATGTTTCCTTGTAGGAGTCCAGATCCTATCATAGTAGTGGATCTCGGAGTGGCAGTGCATCCCACAGAGACTCATCCAGCACCCGCCATGACACTGAGACAGAAGATGTGCTGTGGGATGATTTGCTTCACGGGCCTGAGTACCGCTCCTCCTACACCAGTGACAGTGAGGGAGCCAAAGGAAAAGAAGCAAAGGGAAGCAAACGTGATCTGAAGGAGGATGTTTTCCAGCAGGTCTGTAACATGTGAAGTGTTTCCCCCGTTGCTGTAAATTAAGTGAATGAAAAGCTAGAGTCAAACTGCCAAAATCTCCCCCTCAAGCAACAGGGCATGAAACTCCTTTGTCAGGAGTTTCTGTGCACCAAAGTCAATTCTCTTTGCCACTTATCTGGGAGTGTAGTTGGGTTTGTGGTTCAGTTCTGGAGTATTCCCACTCAGCAGGAAACAGAGTGTTAGCTTAGGCACATTCTGCTAGATGGCCTCAATGATACAAGGGCAGGGCTAGGGAGATTTCCATAAATGGCGTGGGAGACTTGAATCTTGGTGCATGGCAGTGATCTTTCAAGTGACAAAGTCTCAGCAATGGCTGTGGGGCATTGGAGAGTTATATTCCCTAAGCCTCCTACTAAAGAAATTCTTCAAAGTGAAAGGAGTTTTGTTTGTCAAATTGGGGGAAAATTTCTGATATGTACCTGTGGTATTAGCACAGTTTACATATGAAATAAATGCACTCTCTGGGAAAGCATGAGTATAAAATATTGTGTCCTTCAAGTGCTCAGAAAATGTGGTACTATTGGTGGAAGCCATGCTGATTCAAAGCAGCAAGTGATAAAACAATTGTGTCTTTATTGCGCAAAAAAGATTTTGAGGAGACTCAGCTTATAGGGCCTCATAGATCTGGTGAAAGCTTCTTGTTCTCAGAATTACTTAGCCCTTCAACCTGCATAATGTTAAAGCCATCTGTACATTATTATAGGCAATGATGGCATCCAGTGTGCAGTAAGGATAGTGCCTGGGGCCTTGAAGGGTGTTCATGCATATTCAAATAAGGTCCATCTCTTGAGCAGTGAAGTTTGACGTCTTAGTGGCAAAGTGTTTGCTAATGTGTCACTAAAGCTACTGTTTTGAAGCTATTTTTCCCCATGTTAGAGACAGATTTTCCAGAATGTGGCTCCAAGATGCGTTTTCTTCCTCAGAACCACTTGTTCTGGCTACAGAACATAAACCCAGCCTCTACCAAAGTGAGTGCCCTCATCTGGGAGGGGAATGAGTGCAAGAAGGTGGACATGTCTGTGCTGGAGATGAGTGGGATCATCATGAGCAAGGTAAGGGTTATGTCATGGTGTATTTTGGGAGGGAAAACGTGACATTTATTTTCTGTGCATTTTGGGTCAGGTTTAAGATGCTATCATTGCTTTGTACAAACAATTAAAATTGCTCCAAGTTGTCCCCCACCTTAGCAACTTCTGCTGAAACATGACAGGTGGACTGTGATATGGACACCCAAGGCTGGGGGAGACTGCAGCAGCCATTTAATTGTAAGGAGAAATGTGGTCAACAAAAGCTTACCATAATATATGTGTTCATTTTCAAGGTGCCACAAGACACTGCCCCCCCAAAAAAACAGATTAATGCTGCTACCATTCTGGAAATTGCTATGGGGAGATTTTTTTTTTTGGGGGGGGTTAACTGTTACAATGAAACATTTCTTGCAGGCTGTGAAATTTTGCTCTTGCTTTCCCTAACCAATAGGTCAATGCCTTTCAGCAAGGAGCTGGTTACCAGTGGCTGGGAAATACTGTTACCATTGGCTTAGCTTTCCTTCCATTTCTCTATCGACTCTTTCACTCCAAGACCCTGGAACAGTTATGGTCCCTTTCTCTAAAAGAACTTTTATATATCTTTTGCGGGGCTCCCACCATCCCTCCGGTCGTCGCCCTTTCGGCAATCATCTTCCTTGAGCGCCTGTGCCTCACCTGGATGTTTTTCTTCATGATGTGTGTTGCTGAGAGAACATATAATCAGGTTGGTCTGAACAATCAAGCTTTGGGGCAACTAGTAGGGCAGAAATGCCATGGCAGTGAAATGGTTGCCACTGAAAGCACCAGCCTAATAATAATAATAATAATAATAATAATAATAATAATTTATTTATACCCCGCCCATCTGGCTGGGTTTTCCCAGCCACTCTGGGCTGCTTCCAACAAAATATTAAAATACAATAGTCTGTTAAACATTAAAAGCTTCCCTAAACAGGGCTGCCTTCAGATGTCTTCTAAAAGTTGAGTAGTTGTTTTTCTCTTTGACATCTAGTGGGAGGACATTCCACAGGGCGGGTGCCACTACTGAGAAGGTGCTTTGCCTGGTTCCCTGTAACTTGACTTCTCACAGCGAGGGAACCGCCAGAAGGCCCTTGGTGCTGGACCTCAGTGTCTGGGTAGAATGATGGGGGTGGAGACGCTCCTTCAGGTATACTGGACCGAGGCTGTTTAGGGCTTTAGCACCAACACTTTGAATTGTGCTCAGAAACGTACTGGGAGCCAATGTAGTTCTTTCAAGACCGGTGTTGTGTGGTCCCTGCAGCCGCTCTCAGTCACCAGTCTAGCTGCCGCATTCTGCACTAGTTGTAGTTTCCGAGTCACCTTCAAAGGTAGTCCCACATAGAGCACATTGCAGTAGTCCAAGCAAGAGATAACGAGAGCATGCACCACTCTGGCAAGACAGTTCACGGGATGATAGGGTCTCAGCCTGCGTACCAGATGGAGCTGGTAAACAGCTGCCCTGGACACAGAATTGACCTGTGCCTCCATGGACAGCTGTGAGTCCAAAATGGCTCCCAGGCTGCACACCTGGTCCTTCAGGGGCAGTTACCCCATTCAGGACCAGGGAGTACTCCACACCTGCCCGCCTCCTGTCCCCCCAAAACAGTACTTCTGTCTTGTCAGGATTCAACCTCAATCTGTTAGCCACCATCCATCCTCCAACCGCCTCCAGACACTCACACAGGACCTTCACTGCCTTCACTGGTTCTGATTTGAAAGAGAGGTAGAGCTGGGTATCATCTGCATACTGATGAACACCCAGCTCAAACCCCCTGATGATCTCTCCCAGCGGCTGCATGTAGATGTTGAAAAGCATGGGGGAGAGGACAGAACCCTGAGGCACCCCACAAGTGAGAGCCCAGGTGTCTGAACACTCATCCCCCCCCCCACTTTCTGAACATGGCCCAGGAGGAAGGAGCGGAACCACTGTATAACAGTGCCCCCAGCTCCCAACCTCTCTAGGCTGTCCAGAATGATGTTATGGTTGATGGTCTCCTTCACTTCCTTTCTCCCAGATAGCCTCTAGTATCACAAAATGAGTGTGATGTTACTGGGTTGCATCTTTCCCCTCTGCATGCAAGTGGCAGCTTGTGGAAAGAGTCTAAATGGATTATGTTTTCCTCCTCATTTGACACCTTGCAGTAATGTGTTTCCTAACCTGGAGAAATGTTATTGAAGGGTTCCTTAGCATATTGTTTATTAACCTGACTGCAGAAATGGTAAGAGGAGGGATCTGGTTGTGAGTCCCAAGTGACAGCAAAGTGCAGTTTGTTATGACAGAAACTTACTTTTCTTTTACAGCGGTCTTTGTTTGCAAAACTTTTTAGCCATATCACTTCTGCTCGGAAAGCCAGGAAGTATGAAATCCCTCACTTTAGACTCAAGAAAGTTGAAAACATTAAGATCTGGCTATCACTCCGGTCCTACCTAAAGGTACGTCTAAAAGCATTGGCATCTCAGCCTAAACAGAAGATGCCAATTGCTACTGTATGTTTTCAAAGGAGTGAGACTAGCCCTGCCTCCTTTGTACAAAAACCATGAAAGAGCCTGCTGCCTAGGACTGTGCGGCTGTTTTCAAGTGAGTGCTTGTTCCACCAAGCACTGAGTGAGATCAGCCCCATCTCCCTTGTGGCAAAATCTAAGAAAGGACCTGCCACAAGGGATGTTGCACTTGGTGAAGAAGTCTCTTCCCGGACAGAAGGCATCAGCTGGCAATGGGCTGGTGCTTAGCAGTAATTTTTGATAGCTTTGAATTATGAGTCAGTTTTGAACTGCATTGTTTGTTGAGTTGTTTATTGCTTTATATGCTATTGTGTTTTTATGATTATGTTGATAGAAAATGTACAATTTTCTCAACAATGTTGAGCTCAAAGCAGCTCACAATAACAATAGCACTAAAATTAGCAAATGCTGAATCAAATAGAACTGTTTCTGTTGCTCTCTTTCTTGCACACTTTCCTGCTTTTATAATTCAATTTTTTTGTTGTGGCAGAGGCGAGGCCCACAGCGATCTGTCGACGTGGTTGTATCTTCCATCTTCTTATTGGCTCTTTCCATTGCTTTCATATGCTGTGCACAGGTAAGATCTCAATAATTATTTGAAGATACAATGCTGATAATCAAATTTATATATCAATACAGTACTAATCCAAGCATCTGAATTTGGGTGTACAATGCAACGTGAGGAGAGTTCCACCTCAAAGGGAAGAGTTTGAAAATTGTCCATTCAAAGAACTTGGAACTAAAAAGCTGGACCTGAATTTACTTGTTTCTTCCTCCTTTTCAAACATTTTTTCAAACAAAACTTTAAAAAATTGTAATCCAATGGGCAGGAGTCCCCCGTTCCCCCCCAAGTGATATGTAAGCTGTTCCAGAGGAATTCTTTGACTGAATAACAGGATAAAAATAATTCTCTCTCTTTTTTAAAAAAGTAGGCTTATAGCTAAAATTCCTTTTTGATTTGGTACATTTCCTCTCCACAGAGGAGTGACCTTTATAGAGCAGGTGTGGGAAATCTCTGGCCTGTGTGCCTAATTAGGCCCAACACACATCTTGTTAGCCCAAGAGGCAGTTTCCCCCAGACCATGGCCACTTGTTGCACCCTGAAAGTTTATGTGATGTCAGGTGAGTGACAGGTGGAGACACACTTGCCTGTGAACAAGTAGGAGCTTTGCCACCCGACCCTATCCCACTTACCATTCCCCCCTCCACCCTCTTTTCTTCCTAACCTAACACTGTATGTAACACTAATGTCTCACAACAAATAAAACTGATCTCTAGAAAACGCATCTTGAAAAAAGAGACAATGCACGTTTTTTCGTAAACTAAGAAATCTTTAATAAAAAAATATATTTTAAAAAACACAAGTGGGAGCCTTAAAATGGCAATGCACTCCCAGTGGTGACACCAAGCCTTCCTTACCAATGTACTACCAGTCAGCTGGGATTGCTAATGCTAATAACTTCGCCATGGCGGAACACCATAGTACCAGCTCATCCTAGCAGAAAACAGAGGTTGAAGTCAGTGCCTATCAGCTCCCTGGGAACTCTGTAGTCAGTTGATCCTTCCAGGGGCTTGCAAAGAGCAGACCAGGGCTCTTTGGAAGCTCCTTTCACCTTGCAAAGTGCCCTGTTTGGTGCTTTGAAGAGCCCATAATCAGCTGATTGGTGCTTCAACTATGCAGGGCTATAGCAGCTGTTACAGCTAGTAAAGGGCAGTTTGCTGATTCTGTTGTGTTTCTTTCCACAGCTTTTAAAAGGTTACAAGACATTCTTGAATGCTGCTTACAACTGGGAATTCCTAATCTGGGAAACAGCCCTGCTTCTCTTCTTGTTGCGTTTGGCATCCCTGGGCTCTGAGACCAACAAGAAATATAGTAATATTTCAATTCTACTCACTGAGCAGGTATTTTGCCTAACACATACCCTTCTTGTGATATTAGGCTATCAAATACATAAACTAAAATTGATAACCTGGGGTCTGTTCACTAGAAATTATTTGCCACTTTCAGTTTGCCATTCATGCCTGTAAATTGTTAGAATTCCTGCTCCATGATTGCAGTCATGGGATTTTTGTCTATCACATGACAGTGTATGTTTTGATTCCACAGAGTGGGAAGTGACGAAGGCAGGATGTTTGTGTTGCTGTGTTCCGTGAAGTGGGACTATTGTCCTTTGTTCTTTTTTTCTTTGCTGTCTGATGCTAGAGAGAGAGGGAGCCATGTTGCAATGCTCCGTGTAAATAAAGTAGATTAGCCAAAATGTTGAGTTGCTGAGGTCTGTCACGCAAGTTGTGCAAACTCTGCAGATCCCTAAGTGTGCCGGTGTCGGTTGGCATCGGTCGCTGTGATGTTCGGGCTGAAGCAAGCTTTTGAAGCTCCCAAACGATCAACCAGGAGGGAGAAAACATGCCACTTGGGCATGTTTCTCTGCCAGGGTCCTACTCGAGTGTAGGCTGAACTCCTGACATAAATATTCATACATCTAGATCTTTGCACAGTTCACAAGTAGTCTGTTACTTACCAACTTAAATCTATATAAAATGAATTTATTAGTTTTGAAGAACAAGCTGGTTTTCAAGCCAGGTGCTTGAAGATATTGGGGTCATTTTGTTAATGGCTACAAAGTGCCACACTTGCACATTTAAAATGTAACAAAATGTCAGTGTTTAATTTTCATCTTTCAGACCCAGTGCATGGTCTGAAGGCTCATGAGGCTACTGCCTTGCTGAAGCTAAGCAGGTCTGGGTCTTGTCAGTGCCAGGATGGGTGAGCCCTTGGGTACCAGATGTATGCTGCCTTTAGTTCTATAACAAAAGGCAGGGTATAAAGTGATGTTGTATCCAATTCCTTGTATTCCTGCCCCCTTTCCAAGCTACAAATCTACTTTTCCTGCTACATGGACTCTTAAAACATACCCTTCATGAAGCACCTGTCTGTGCAGCCAGGATTTGTTTAGACACCTGTCTTCTAAGTCTATCATCTCCCTTTCTCTGAGGTACCCATGTTTCTGGTAGAGACTAGCTTGTCTCTCATTTTGGTGCTAGGGTGTATTGTAATTTGCTGACCCTCCTTTGGTATGCAGGCAAATGGTTGATTTTTTTTGGGGGGGGTAACTTCAAGCATTTTGTGGACTGCATCTAGGTGTGTGTGTGTGTATTTTAAAGCTCCTTGTTGGGGCCTGTGTTTCTGCTGCTTTGCTTAGGGCAAGTATTAAGTTACTTCAGTTAATAGTGCCTAAGGCTAAGGATGGGTGAAGGAACGTTGCTTATGCTGACCATGCCTCCTATCCCTCCTATAGGTGAAGGACAGACTTGGATCAATAAAAGATGTGAACTGTTGTTTTTTTAAATCTGTTGCAGATAAACTTATATCTTAAGATGGAGAAGAAGCCAAACAAGAAAGAACAGCTCACACTGGCGAACAACATTTTAAAACTTTCTACCAAACTCATGAAGGTGAGCAGTTCAGAACTATGTAACTCTTTGCCTAGTTAATACTTGATAAAATGATGTTTGACCATTTGAAGGGTATTTTTGTGGTGCCCATTTGGGAAGGAGCAGAGCACACACTTTGCATGAACATCTCGGGTCCAATGCTTGGCATTTCTAGGTAGGGATGGGAAATGTTGCTGTCTGAAACCCTGAAGGGTCAGTGTGGACAGTACTGACCTAGATGGTCCACAGCATAAAGCAACTGTCTACGTTCCTAAGCAAGACTAGCCCTTTAACTTTCCTTTTCTGATGGCAGGAGTTAGATACTCCATTTAGACTGTATGGCCTGACAATGAATCCCTTAATCTACAACATTACTCGTGTGGTGATCCTGTCTGCAGTCTCTGGTGTTATAAGTGATCTACTGGGATTCAACATTAGAGTAAGTATTGATGTGTCTGCATGCAGAGTGGCTAGTTCAGTTTGGTGTTTTTCTGTACTCAAGTTCATACACTTCCCTTCCTATGGGCTTGGTGATGCTGCAACAGATACTGTTACCAATGAAACCAGCAATTGGGCCTTACGATTCTGGACCTTCAGTTTGAAAACAAACCAAACCAAATCAGAGAAGGCTGCTTAGTTTAAATCATTGGTTTCTGCTTCTTCATGTGTGTAGCCTGCAAATGAACAATGATCTGACAGTTGCTTGTATATGCTTTAAAAGGCTTAGTTTTGAACTATGAAACTACTGTCTTTTAGATTGATTTTTAAAAATTCAATTGTTAAGCTACTCTCCTGATACAATGCCTACTTAATTTTTTAGTTGTGGAAAATCAAACCGTGAGTTGAAGAAGAAAGAAGCTTGGGCCCTTGTCCAGTGCCACAAGAGTTATCAGCAGTCCTGCATGGGCTTGGAATGGTATTTGAAGGTGCTTCTCTCATTTTAGTAGTCTTCACATCTTATGTTTTTCATACATTCCATCAAGACCAGAATAAATTAGTTTTATTCTCAGTGAGGCCATGGCTTGAAGAAATGGTTAAATAAACCTTAGTAAACGGGCTTCTTAGAATAAAGTTATCTGACAAACCTGCAGCTCCCATGGAGTGCAGTAGTATGAAATCATACAACAGATATTTGTTGCATAAACAAAACCACTGCATCAAGCCAGTCATTTTCCGACCTGAAAAGGCTTGCTGTTAAGTCATCTGTAAGGGGAACAGAACTTAATGCATACTACGAACATGTTAAGGGACATGTTTTTAAAATGAGGTGGCTGAGCATGGTGCTATGTTCTAAGTTCAGAGAGGTGCTTGTTTTTGGCAGAATCACCTCCTTTTGGTAGCTTGCTCTTGACCTACTTTAAAGTGCCTCCAATAAAATTTTCTTGAATGGCACTAGACTTAGCAGCAGAAGCTGCTGGAGGCCTTGCCTACTGATGTTGATTTATAAGAGAAGGAAATTATATACTCAACTTGTGGTGATGGATTTTTATCTCCAGGCATGCAGCGGTTGCTTAGGAACACACAAACAGCTCCAGAAGGTGGCTTACAGTAGGCCTGCCACACACACCAGGAGAGATGATAGTTTTTATATGATTAGCATTCTTCAAATAACTCATTATGTGAACTCAGACTGATCTGAACAAGCAAAGCAATCTCTCCATGAGAGAATTCAGCAATGTTTATATGCTTCCAGAGAGAGCAGATATTCTACAGTATTTAAGAGGCAATTAGAACCAAATTTCTGCTGGGATAGATTACAACACCCATTGCTAGCATTTAGCTGCACAGAAAGTGGGTTGGACCTGAAAATTTTCCCACTGCAGGGAGCTATTGATTAAAAACTTTACACACAATCCTTCCCAAGTAGGGTAAGTATTAGGGCTGTGGACTGCTTCACACAAGAAAATTTTCTATAGCTGTACTGATTTCCACATATGGTATACATATGGTTTACCATACATAAATATTTAGAACCTACATGGCAGCTTCTGAATGTACATGCAGCAAACACATATTTCTATGTTTTTCTATTTGTGATACTATAATTTTATTCCTGAATCCACATACAAATATGTGAAGTAACTCTAAAAGGGCTTACCAAATTATCACTGAGTGGTTGGTTGCTGTCACTAGTATGTATGGAATAGTTGAATATTTTTAAAATCAGCACTGCCTGTAGCATCTTAAGCAAGATATACTTTGTATATGATACTGTTTATACAAACAGCTTTGTATGAACTGTTTATTGTCATACAATATTCTTCAAGTCCAACTAAATGTTAGTAATCTGGATGAATAAAACAAGTAATGTAAACACTGAAGTTTTGCTATGTTCTTTTCTGATGACAACCACTGTGTTTACAGGTAAAAGGGCCATTTGTGAGAGATGTGTTGGCTGCAGGTGGAAGGTTAATTTTACATTGTGCTACAGCTGTGAGAAAAGTAAAATTAAACCTTAGAGATGTTTCTACATAAGCAGAAGCATGAACAATGCTCCTGAGCCTATGTATTTTAGAATTTTTGAACTTGTACTTCCTGCTGTTCATGATCTTTTACATCCAATCTGGAGTTATAATGTAGCAGGCGGCTAACACAATCTGACTCTGCCCCAATAGTTTTTTGTGGCCCTGCAATCCCTCCCAACCATTTCTCTTACTCTACATAATTTGATTCTGCAATGCCAAACAATTTTGTGATCTCCAAAATTTCCCCCTTTTGAAAAATGGTCATGCCCACGTTTACAGTGTTAGCTGGGGCCAATGCAGCCCTTGGCCTGAAAAAAGTTATATACCCTTGTTCTAATGCATAAAATACTGAAGAGGTGATATTTTCATAAAGTACAGTACTCCAGAAGCCATGAACTAGAGTCTCTTTTTAATGTATCTATATAAAAAATAATGAGCGATTTACAGGTCTCTTTCTAATCAGAACCTTAGAAGTATATATAAAGGTGCTGTACAATATATAAACATTTACATCCAGTACAACCATAGGTTTCTCAACATTCCAAGGCCACATTGCTAAAGTCATTTTATGCAGTTAAGTACAGATACAAAGTCTCTGGGTAGAAGGGCTCACATCAAACAGAGGACAACAAATTAGGTCACGCCATTAAAGGTTAAATTGCATATGGATAATGATTACTTGCTGAATAATGGAGGGGGGAACCATTTTAGTTTTACTAAGTCATCTTGATATTTCTGCAGTTTTCATTCAACACTATTCTGTGACAGAGTATAAGAGAATCTTGAAGGGATGTTTCATGATGTTTGTCAAGGTATTTAAACTACATAGGCTAACTCAAGTATTAAATATTTTCACAGTAATTTTCTACAATATTTGCACATACGTCCTACAGCAACTTGAGTTCTTAAATGAGAGAACAAAAGACACTTCAAAAAACAATTTTCTTTATATTTAAGAGTTTAACCAGCTGTTAGTCTTTTAAAAAACAATTTCCTCAAGAGCTGGTTTGTCTTGGTAGCATCACACCACAGAAATGCTTAGGAAAACCAAGTCCAAATAATATAGGGCTTTTAAAAACCTCCTGTTCAAAACAGGAATTCATTTGAGCCACATTAAACTTTTAAAAACTCAGGGAAATTAATAAGCAATACAGATATTGTTGGGATGGGAAAACACCATTTAAAAATAAAAAGCACAAACCCATGTGGAACTGTAAGATACTGTAAATTCACAGCCAACATACATACACCTTGCACAAATTTTTAAAAAGGTGAACAGATGTTCTAACCTAACTTAAATGTGCATCATCACACCAGTATATGTTTCTGGCTGCCACATGAGTAAATCCATCATGAAAGTGCAGGACTATTGCACAACAGACAACCTTGCACCTTTCAATTTCCCATTCTGACCAGTGCCATCAGGCATCCTATTGAGGCTCTGATTACAGGTACGTTTATGCTTTCAACTTTTCCTTCTCAAGCATTTTCACTGTCATTGCAATGGTCAGCTTGAGAGGTGGTGGTGAGGAAAGGGCTAATCAACAGCTTTCTAGAGACCTAGTGCTTTTAAATGGGCAATTGGATGTCACTTATGTCAGTTGCTTCTGATCAAGCTAGCAGGATAAGCACAGCAACCACACAGGGATAGTCATACAAAACCAGTAACAATAGCACCAAGCAAGTACACCTCTTGAAGTATTCCAGGCTTCAGTGAAATCATATCTCACACAGACAGCATCTAAGGAATTTCATTCTTCAGCAATCAAAGTCCATTTCAAGAGTTCACAGGATTACCACTATCCTAGATATCTTCACCAATCTATTCCCCATCACACTCAAAGCATTCAGACCCAGCAGGGCTAGGTGAAAAGGGTATGTCAGCAATCGAGTTGAATGCAAAGCAATAATCTTCTGAAAGTGACATCGCTAAAGCCCTCAGTGGCAAGCCTGTAGTTACTACGACACAATGCCAACTTCAGCTGTTCTCCAGAATAAGGCTGAGCAGTATCATGCAAAAGTGAAAATCGAACAGAAATGGTAAAACCTTGAGCAGATAGATGGGCTCTATACAGATAAATATTTCCAAACAGCAATGGGAATGACTTTTCTCTTATTCCTACTGGCTCAGGGGAAGTGCTACAGTAACAGTAGTTACTGCACATGCAAAGAACTACACATGCAAAGGAAGTAGAGAAGCTTGTCTCATTCAGTTCAACAAAGCAGTAAAACTGACTGCCAGACTGCCTAAAGTAGAGTGCAACTGAAAAAAAGAAAGGGTTAATATGTCAGCAAAACAGGAATGCCATCATTAGATTTTTTTTTTTAAATGCTTGGACATTACTGTGCAAGAAAAATAGTACTGTGCATTTTTTTTCTTTAGTAGATAGGGATTTCACAAAATAGAGGGGAGAGGAAGGGAGAAGAATGTTAGCAGTAGTAGAGTTCTTAAAAGGCAATATTAACAACGTGTCCTTAATTTGCAGACATCCATTTGCCACAGTGCTGCTATGCTGGAAGGAACTTGTTTTGTCCCATCTCAAACACACACACTCCCGCTCAAAAAGCAAAACAAGCTCAAAACACTAAAGAACTTGCAGAACTTATTAACCAGACATTGCATTAAGACATTCCCAAAACGAACACACACACACAGGCAATGAAAGTTCCATTACAAAACATTCTGCATGTTTGAGAAATCATCACTTATACACTATAACTAACAGAACATGTAAAAAAAGGACTGGAAGAGAAACTAATGGATGAAGGAAAGAAAATAAGTTTGAGAAGAAAGGGGAAAGAATAAAATACGAGTTGCTTGGGTGGAACCAGAAAAAGTCTTGTTAAAAAAATAAAACTAGAGAACAAGACTTGAAAGCTGGAAGAAAGAAGTGTAATACAATTAAACAGCCTACTGGAAGAGGAAGCTCCCTGACAAAATGTGGAAATCTTTGATTTAGGGTAACATAAGGGGCATGGATCAAACTCTTTGCTGAGATGGATCAAACTCACAAAAGCTCATCCAGAGGCTGCCAAATCCATTGCTAGAATGATGTAAAATTCAAAGTCTCCATTCTTGCAGCTTGCCATCTCCTCAAATCCCATCACTATTAACTACACGTCTGAGGTGCAAATGTGCTCCACTGTTAACATTCCTCACTATCATATTTACACTCACACAGAAGTAAGAGAGGTACGTAAAAAAATGGAAAACAAAGTAAGGTCTAGTAATAGCGACAAGCAAGGACAATTCTTGAGAATTTGACTTTGGTGGATTGGTTTACTCTGCTGTGTTTTAAGATCTTGAATTTTGAGCCAAGGCAGGAAATATTCAAGTGTTTAGACGGCATTAAGCAAAAAAACAAACAACAGATGGGAGATGCTGACAAACAGCATGGCAGTAAGCTTGAAAGCATATGCACACTCTGCATGTTTAATAACTAATGTTAAAAGTGCTTGTTAAAAAATAATAATCAGGATATAATTTCGTGGCAATCCTGAAGCCACTTACTTCAATATAATCAGGCTGAAATTAAGAGAACTGTTGTGATTTTAAAACTACTCAGCTTTCAGATTTAAATTTGTATCACATATTTTAAAGTTGGAATGGACAACTCGAACAAGGTAGTGAAGAGAGCAAATGACAAAAAAGCACATATAAAGGGGCACTGTCCTGTTTAAAGTTATTATGCTGGTATTGACAGGTTTGAGGAGGGTGGAAGAGAGCTTTGTGAAAAAAGGCATTTGGGGCATGTTTGCTCCCTGACTCCAGAGAGCCAAGAAAACCAAGCACATCTAACTTCTTGCTTGAGCAGCGAGAACTCAGAAATATTCCCTATGTAAACATGCAGCATGCTTGAGTAAATACTCATTTTTAAACTCCCCCCCCCCTTTTCTGTGGCAGTGGAAAATGCAGAAGATTCAACAGGATACAGTAGATAACTTGGCACAAGAACAAGAGTAGTGAGTCATGATTACACTGATAATAGGCATTAAATAATTTTGTTCATTATCTCACAATACTATCAGAAAGCCTTAGCAGTGCAACATCAGGAGCATCAGGACACCACCTTCAAAGGGACCAAAGGACAGCAGCTTTTGAAGAGTTTCATATATGCAATCCGAAAGGTCCTTCATGCAGCCTAATTTCACTTCCAATCAAATGTACTTTCTGTTCATCACAGTGTCTGAAAAAATGACAGTTTTGTGAAAAGAAAAACTGTTTTAAGTGGCCACATTAGAAACCTGATTAAAATATGTTCTAAAAAAGTTTGTCAGTCAAACCCGTTTGTCAGTCACACCTGTTGCTTTTGTGACTCTGCTTGCACTTGGTACCTTCCAAGGTCCAGGAGTTATAGCTTTCTTCACAGGAGATCTGCTCTCAGTTTTGAAAATTCCATCCTCTTTGGTTTTGTCAGCTGACTCCAGGTCATTGTCTCTGTATTTGTTCAGGACAACAGGCTCTCCTGCTTCAAGCCTAGTGTTGTTATCTCCAGAAAGTACTGAATCATCAGGAAGACCTGCCATTTTTAATTGGTTAGAGCTTTTGATTTTTTCATCTTCCAGTGTTTTCTTTCTAAATTGATTAGCCTCAGAAAGTGGAGGAGACTGCTCCTCTGACTTGTAATGTGCTGTCTCTGGAGGGCATTTCTCATCCTTCCCAGATATGTTTTGCTTTGTGACTTCTTTTATGCCTCCTAATTTCACTTTTTCTATTGGTAGCACAGTTGTGTGCTTTTCACTAACAGGTGTTCCACTTTTAAATTCTGTTAACCTTTGCTCTGTGTTCAGATTATCTCTGCTTCTTTCTTTCTTTGGATATTTCTGGGGACTGGCAGATCTGCCTCTCTTTTCCT